TACACTACATCTATCCCAACTGATATACGTGTCCTTGCAAAATGTTGATGACGTCATCGCAATTTTTTTTAAATTCCCACTAGAAAAATGTAATGAGAAAAAAAACACAATAGGCATGCAGTTGTCAAGTTTCCGACAGCGAGGGAAGTACTGTCTAAACTCTTTAGACCAATTTTTTATTCTTACTTTAGATCCAGATTGGAATATCGCAGTTTAATATGGTTTCCCTTTTACTCTTGTTCCACGACTATGTGGAAAATGTTCAGAAAAACTTTCCTAAATTTTATATATGCCAGAATATTTGATGTTTGTTCCATTAGGGTTTTTTCGCATATTTTCTTTTTAAAAATAAAATATGATTTTTTAAATAAATAACATTAATTTGTTTATTTACTTTACTTATAACACAAAGTTTCCATATGTAACTCTTAAGTAATGATTTTGATTTTTTTATATTCTCGTCTATAGACTGTAGAATTTTGTACGCTGTGAAATTCTAACAGTATACTAAACGAGGCAATGTAGGAAAAATTTCCACAAGAAAACAAATGTGCATCTGATTCAAGGACTTATTTTTACACTTAGGTGTTTTCTTCAAAGTCGCTTCACTCTTCCAATTTATTATGAAGATTTTAAAGAAGAAAATATATTAAAAAAATGCGTTTTACATATTTTATACATTATATTTATTTCTCTAGATTGTTATAATTTGTTTTTTTTTGCTAAAAATGTTTAAATAAATTTACACTTCAGCTTCACCCAGTGGATTGCCCAACCAAGGGTACACCTCTGGACACTCTCCACAAAGTGTCATGTATCTCATTTCTTCACCTTTTGCAAGTTGACAAGTTTGCTTAGTGCAGCCTAAATCTTCAATCTGAGGACATTCTGCGCGAACACCCGCTTTAAGAGATGTAGGATTCTTAACCCACTCAATAGTTTGGCTTGGACTCACCTACATTGTATCAAATTAAACATAATTTTGTTTAATATGTATAAAACGTACCAAGTAAACGTCATTTAGTGTTTGCAAATAATCTACGAACTTTGTATAAGCTTCTAAATGAATAGGGTTTGCGCTGAAATATGCTTGATGGACGTAGAAACCAAACGGTGCTCTGTTGCCGTTGTATTGAACATTAAAGTTGTCAATAAACCATTGCAGAAGTCCGTCGGCATCATCTGGACTAAAAAACCCTTTTTAATTTGTTTTTTTTATCTAAATTGCTAAAAACTAACATATTAACGCAAGCGTCCACCATACTACAAACAATGTTTTGTTGATCAGTCCAGTCGACCATTGGGGCAACCCAAAAACCAGGAATTGCATCTTCTGGACAGGGACCTACTATGCAGTCTTGACTTGATTTATAGTCAAGAGTATATGGCCAGAGTCCAGGGTTTCTGAAAGTTTGAGTTGGCCAAGAACAGTCCCATTCCAAGCCTATGTCTTTGCCCAGTTGGAAAGTATTGTCACCTAATTTTTAAATCAGATTAAATTACTTAGTTTTTAATAGAACTGGAGATTGCCTTTGTTACTAACCAGATAATTGTAGAAATGGTATTCTCATGCCCTTTATTGCTTCTGCTGGAATATTGCCAAATGTAGTGACTATCGTTTTTTCGTCCCCGAATTCTTGGTTCAATTGGTCCATCGTAATGTTTCGCCAATAATCAGTCGAAGGTTCATGCGTGATAGAGTGGAGTGCAATTTCATGATAATTAACGTATAAATCGTGAACCTTTATGAAAAATTTAGGCGATGTACTGTCGGACTTGTAGTTTGTAGTTATTTATAAAACTTACTCTGCTGTAATCTGTATAATCATGAGACAAGAAGAAAGTTACGGTTATAGGACATCCATCAGGGTTAGTTCGGTTGGCAAAGAGTGCATCATAAACCTGGTAGTTAAGCTCTTGAACGGCGTCGTCAAATGTCAAATGGACAAACTGAAAGTAAATTGCTTTTTAATAAAACAAAAAATTTTCCTCTGTGTTGTTGTTTTATAGTTTGGAAGAAGTCTTGTTCGAGTCTTGTTAAATTGTTTCTAGTTGCGTTGTGTAATAATACAGAAAACTAAAAAAATCTTACTTGTGGAATTTGAGTTGCGTCGAGTCCATTGGGAATGTTGGTGGAAGAACATCTACAATCCGGTGACGAACACTTCGCGTCCGTGCACGCTTCGGCTGCATACAAATCTTTGTCTGCTTGGGGTAATGCAAGACAAGCAGCGACTAAAGTCACGAGAACTATTCGAAACATAGTGAAATTTTACAAGAGAGAATAAAATCAATACTGAAGCTGGACAAAGAGCTGCCAAATATATTGGAAAACCGTATCTGATAAAAAAAATCTGTAAAAATTGATAAATCGTTTATACTTTGGATGAAGAAGATTACTTTTGTTTACATCTTCAAAGTTATCTTAAATATACGCAATATATAGAAGTGTTGTTTTTAGGAATACAATCGTAGAATGATGTAGTTAATCTGTTTAGGTGAGACCTCAAATTTAATATATTTTGTAATCGTTAATCCATTTGCTAATTGTTTATATATGTGTGTGTGCACCGGCGCCTGTGTGTAGTTTTATTTGTTTACAGGTTCGAAATTTCGAAATATTTTCGTCAATTTGGACATGTTTTTTTTGTAGAGATTTATATGATATTAGGTTTGTAACATTAGAAAGACTACTATAGGGTTTAATTTTTTGTATGATTACTTCGACAGAACTTTTCTCGCTCTTGAAATACAATCCAAAAAATTCTGCTTCTTTGACAAATTATAGAAAATTTGTGTTTTCTGATAACCTTTATATAGTAAAAACCAGTGGTGTAAATGACATCTCGAACCCCCTGCGCCGCGGGGGTGCAAATACCAAGGAGGTGCCAGCCGGATGAGATATACAAACAATATGAAATGTATTCAAAGCAAATAACCCACGGAAAAGAGTGTACATGTTTAACTTAGATTGTTTATGCTCATACATCGAAAGAATGTCACGTAGAAATTTGTTTAATTTGAATGAGTTGTCTCCTACAATGGAGCAAAATGTTTTGGACATGATTATTATGATTCTTATACGATCATAATTAAATAAAAACCTGGGTATTCTCACATTTGCTAGAAAATGAGGTTCTTAATGTGGTCAATAACAAATTGGTTGAAGGCTATAATTAATATTCGACAAACCCAGCTCTTTAAAAAAAAGTTATAAAATTTGATTTTACAATTTTCGTTTTCTGATAACCGCTGCAAAATAAAAAGACAGAGGCATAAATAACACCCCTTGTCCTTCAGCACTAGGTAATAACCATCTGAAGCTCAAGTGTTTATTTATGTTTATACATCGAAAGAATATTACGTAGAAATTAGTTTGATATGAATGACTTTGTCTTCTCAAAATGGGACTAAAATTATAATATATATTAATTAAACCACAATCGAACAAAATATTCTGAATTTTTATTGTGTCATTATTATATAAAGAAGTGCGTGTTCTTCACATTTTCGAGGAAATGGGGTGACTCGTACTTAATTTGACCATTAAAAAAATTGTGATGACGTCATCAACATTGATTCTAGTCACAGCACAAATGAAAAGTAGCCACAGTGTTAAACCAATGCAATGAAAATTTGAATGTTTAACGAAAAAACTGAAAGCGGATTCGTACACTACAAGTATATGAGTATATTTTTTTGTAACATTTAAATAATTTTAAAATACCATTCATTAAAATGACGTCATCAAATTGTTGGTGGGAATGATTGGCCAAATTTGTGTTAGTATTTAACCATCTACATGATATTTCTAATATACATACAAAATCTGACAACAATCGGTCCAGCAGCTTCGGAGATTACAGACACACAGATGGAAACAGGAGAATGCTTTCTTCGTACTGTTGAGGTCATGAAAGAACCGAAAAATTAAAACGATTTTAATTTAATTTTTTGAAGCATAATTTCCTTTAATCAGATATTCACAATATGCTTCTGTAATCACATTGGAAAATATTTTTTACTTCCCGAGCGTAAGCAAAGGAAGTATTGTAATCAAGTCCGTTGGCCGACTCTCTACTTTTGGATTTTCTCGATATTTCCTGACCCCTAGAGGGCGAAGAAATAGGTGTCCCGTTTCCATCTGTCTGTCTGTCTGCCGTCCCGGATTTTTATTAGACCGATAATCTCCGAAAGTCCTGGGCCGATTGTTGTCAAATTTTGTATTTATATTAGGTACATCATGTAGATGGTAAAACGCTAACCAAAATTTGTCTAATCATCCCCACCACTAATGTGATGACGACACTTCAAAATTGTAGATAATAAATGGGTTTTAAATTGTATCAAATTACATATTCTTACACATGTAGTTTATGACTCCGAATTGAGATTTTACCCGAAACGTCCAGATTTTTGGAAAAAAAATCAAAATTAGGAAACAACATTTTCACATTTAATTTGGAATCTGCAAAACCGAATGCTTTGAAATCTTTCAGATGGTTTACAGTTATGATAAGCCTGATAAATTGATGAAAACAGTAGCAGACTATTTTCTATTATTAGTATTCTTGCTGATTTGAATTGCAAAAGGAAATCTTAATGTGTGGCAGAGTATCCTTGAAATCAAAATAAATTGACAAACGTCGAAGTTCTGTAAACAATCCTTATATAACGTAATGTAGACACATAAATGTTTATTTTTAGAAAAATACAGTAAACGGATACATTAAACAATAATTACAGCAAAGTATACAACAAATTATTAACAATACAACTTCAATAAATTTGTTTTTATTTCCTTCACACTGCATAAATTTATTAATAGAAATTCAGATTTGACTAACTTAAATTTGTGAAATGTGAGTTGCATGTAAATATGTACTTTTGGTTTTCCGTTTTTATTTTGAAAGAATTTTATAAGTAATTTTATTTACTACTTTATCAGTTTGCATTACACAACGTAGTTTTATTAAGGAAATGACTAATTTTTAGCCACAAAAGACAAATTATACATTTCAGATACACAATTTTCTTTAATTCACTTGCACATCATATTTTCCAATCGAAATTTCACTGCCAACATCAGTCAAGGCAGTACTTAACTTTTGTCTTTTTTTAAAAATAAAAAACAAACTCCGCTTAAACAGCGTCGACGTTTCCGGAGTTTTGAGAGTTGGTTTTGGTGTCACAATTTTTGGTTTAATTTTTTCAGGAGGGAATAACCACTTCGATAATTTTGTCGTTTTAAATCCTCTTTGAAATTTTTCATTCGTCACACTATAAATCAAAGGATTCAGAGCAGCGTTTACAAAGATGAAAAACTTTGATAATAACCAGAAGTTATGATACGCTCCACTAGCCTAAAAAACAAAATTTTGATTTATTTTTATGTATTTTTGTTAACTTACCGTATTTTGTACTAGTGCACCTTGAGAAAGGCTACTTTGGATTTCATCTCTATAGAAAATCAGTGCAGTAAAAGGTAATCGACATATTAAAAATGTCAAAATCATGGAGAACATCATGCGAACTGCTTTTTTCTTGTAATCGACTTGACGCTGGTCCAGTTTTCGTGAAACCACTTTCTCGTATTTGCGAAGCTTTGCAAAAAATGTGTAAATTTTGGATTTATTGTTAATTACAATACGAAGATTACCTTTATGAATATAGATCCGTAGCAAATTAGCTGAATGGTTAATGGTAGCCAGACTAGAACTGTTATGATAACGTGCCAGTAAATAGTTGTCATGAAAGTATTTTCAGTACAAAATTTTTCCAAAAAATCTTTCCACTGGCGTTCCTAAACTCACACATACAGCAAAATTTCTGAAATTATTGAACCATTTTACCTTGTAATTTCTATAAAAGAACAATGGACTAGAGATTAACAACCCGACCACCCATGCAATTGCTATGATGAACTTGGCACCTCTTTTGGTCAATTTTGATTCTCGTGGTAGCAGAATAGCTGTTAGTCTGTCATAACTAATTGCAGAAACACTTGTTACACTTGTCAGTAATATAGCACATTCGATTGTTGCTTCAGTTTTGCAGATAAAACTACCAAACTGGTAATTTTGGAAAAAGTCATATACAAGAAAAATCCAGGGGTGGATTAGTAATGACAGTAAATCAGCTGCAGCCATATTTCCGATAAGTACATTTGTTGGGGTGCAGATGTGCCTGTTCCTGATAAGAACATATATTGATAAAATGTTTCCGAAAATGCCAAAAATTAAGATAGGGAGGAAAACTGTGGATTCGACGATTATTTGTGATGCAGGTTTTACAACCCATATTTCGTTAATAAAAGTGTAGTTCGAAAAATCTTGCGAATAATCCGTCTGAAATAATATTAGCGAGTTAGTATTGACAGCAGCGTGTGTAAATAGGTATATAATAAAGAAAATAGGGACTTAATTGTATTTTGATGTTTCGTTTTTACATATGTAAAAATCTTACATTTTTCTTAAGAAATTATAGGTTCAATATAAGCAAAGTTGAAACTATTTTTTCAAATTTGTCTACACTACTTGTCTTCGAGATTTTTTTTAACTGAGAGATAACTTAAAGCACAATTTACAGGTTGAGTGTTATTTGTGCATTGTGCGAGATATGGTTCAAGTATAAAATTTCTTAGTTCAGTGACGAATATTTTTTTATATTTTCTGTGATTTCCCAACTGAGTTCAGTGGAATAATTCAAATTGACTCCATTGTTGTAGATAAAAAATGTTTACTTAGTGTTTCCAAACTGATGAATTATAATCATATTTGATTTAATTTTACACTCTTGCTACCCTTTAGTGTTAAATTTTGTTATTGAATTAAATTTTCAGGAGTCGCAAGACAAAGCAAATAACATGTGAGGTTTTTTTTTTCATAAAAAACCAATTTTCGATTTTGAAACGATAATAAATGTGGTGTGATAGGTCATAAAGAAATCCGATTTCAAAATGAAGAAAATTTAAGAAAAATTCAGATTAATTTTTTCGAAAATTCGAAAAATTCAATAGCAATTTCTAGAAACTTTGACAAAAGTAAATTGACGCAGATTTTGACAAAAAAAAGTAGCAAATTTAAATAAAATTGAAAATCAGGCAGTATAATACGTTATAAAATTAAACGGTATATAAGTTGGTACATAAAAAATACTCACTGCTGGGTCTTTAGTTTTGTTTTCAGCAGTTGAATGATTACCCATATTTTAACTGTTTCAAGCCACTAATCTGTAGCAGAGCTTTTAGTATAGTGTACATTTTGTCAACTGATTACCCAGCACCATTTAATGGATGGTTGTTAACGGTGTTGATTTAACACTTGACAATGCACTATACTATAATAAATACAAACAAAATATGTGTTGAGGATCACCAAGTACTGTTCAAATACTATCTACTGTATCGATTTTTCGTAATAACAAATACAGAAGGCTCAGGTTAAGTGCAGACTCTACATTGTGAAGAGAATTTGTTGTTGTGACAAAAAATTGAAGACGACATTAGTCTTATACTTAAGACAAAATATGAATTAGTAGATAAAATAAAAACCTATTTTCACTTCTCGAGCTTAAGCTGAGGGACTACGAAAAATAGGTCCTCTGTTTTCATCTGTCTGTCGTCTGTGTCAAATTTTATATGTGTGTTAAAAATATCGTATCAATGGTAAAACCCCAACCAAAATTTGTCTAATCGTCTCTACCAACAATTAAAATATCGTGAAATCAAATTTTATAAATTTTCGAACAAACTGGATGGTTAAATAACCTTACACCTTTTTTTTTAATTGTAAATTAATATTTTTTAAATTAAAGTATTTGCAGAACAATTTTAAAATATTACACATGTAATCCACTGTTGAAATCTTGTTGCGGGTTAGCAGGTAGGTCACGACGTTATGAATCGTGTAACAATCGTCACAACCAGAACATAATTAAGCTTATAAATTTATTTGTATTGATAACTAACATAATTATGTACTCAAAGAGTTGCTTACTTTTACACTGCAACACATTCAGTTTTGTAATTAAGTACTGTGGATTATTGCATCTTACACCATTTACACCGGATGAAATACATATTATTACTATTATAACCCCAATTTAAACCAGAATACTTGTAATTTAACTAATATCTGGTGTTGTAAGAATCACCTTTTACTCTACAATATATCTGAAATTGATTAGCAGACAAAAGATTTAGTTTTCAATATAGCAACAATTTATTGAGGTCAGCAGCTTTAAGACATTACATTATTGTTATTAAATATTTTTTATTAGATTTTAATGTAAATATATAATGATAGAGATCGACTGTGACCTACATACGGTACTGCATGCGTTCAGACGCATAATTAAGGTAAATGAATCTTCAAAATGGGTAAAAAACTATCCTCGTTGAAAACTAAATATTCAATGATTTGTCTGATTCGCAGAAATCTTTTAGTGATTTAGTGAATCACATAATTTCTATTTATAACATTTTTAAAAAATTCAATATTTTACAGTGTATGAGAATTTTATTTGTGTAGTTTTTTGTTTTATATTATTTTTCTCCTTTGTGTTTATTAGTTCAACTTTATTAAGTTGTGTATTTCGTGATATTTCCTTCATTATTATAACGTATATTTTTTAATTTGTAATTTTATTGTCATTAATTTCATTTTACTTAACTGTTACCAACTTGACAAATTAAATCTTGTAAAGCAATTTACGTACATTCTCCGTTATCTTGTGGAGTTGCAGTACAAAATAACAAAAATAAAAAGCACTTGACGTTTGTAATAAAGTATCGGATATGTTTTTTAAAGGAAATTATGACGTGATACGTACTTGTTAGATTAAGATTGTTAAATCATGTTATCGATCAAAAACAGGCATGGCGTAACTGGGCACTCAAGCGGAAAAGAAGAGAAAATGACTATTTATTTATATTTAGTTTTTTTCAAATGACGTATACTTTCTTAGATAGTTAATTTAAATTTAAAAGTAAAGATAGATAAAGTGGTTAGCGAAGAACAAGCAGGGAAGACCAAGACGAAAATGGATATAGTGTGGATATAGTCACCCGTCAACGTCACAGGTACCTATAGGATTAAGAAGAAGATGAACATTAATATAATATTAATAACTAATTAAACTTGATTGTAATATTTCTGGTGACTCGAGAAATAAAAATAAGGAGGATCATTTGTTAGTTGTATGTTTTTTTTCCTTCTATTCATGTTTCTTATTGCTATTGTATAATATTTTCCTAGTAGTGATTTTATTAGACAAATATTATCTGAACACCCAAAAAATGATTATTTCGTCTCAAAATTTTGTTTTATTATTGTTATACTTATTTTTAATCTCACCTATACAAGATCTAAGAAAACAAAATATTTACCATTAAATTATAGATTTTTTCTCAGAGATTATATAAAAGACTTCGAAATGTTGCTAAGCTAAAATATTGATCTATAGGAGACAACATTAATTAACATTTATATTTATCATTTGATAACGTCATCTTATCACGCATGAGATGCGATATTGCTTGTGATTTGAAAATTACAAAAAAAAAACTAGTTTTAAAGACTTTTTTTCTGTTCATCCTATCAAAAATTTGGTGACGTCATTACAAAAGTTTTCCAAGTAAATTTCCTCCCATGGAATTTATACCGTGATGTGATCTTTTATCTATAGTTTAATATGCATCCAAGTTTGACCTACTGCTTACAGATTACTATAAAAAAATACAATTTTTAAACTGAAGTTTTCCTGTGTAAGACACGAAAATTTTGAAACTTTGGTAGGATACTTGGTACTGAATTAAAAATTTCAACAGAGTGACCAAAATGTGTCTACTCTTCTCCTTTCGAAAGTTAATAACATCATCTCTAAAAATTTACTGAAAAAGATGCAATGCTGTTTATGCTGTGATAGTAGATATATGTGACTCTCTACTTTTATATTTTCTCGACCTATCATGATCCCTAGAGGACGAAGAAATAGGTCTCCAGTTTCCGTCTGTTTGTCCGTCTGTCTGCCGGTCGGATAGATAATCTCCGAAAGTACTGGACCACTTGTTGTCAAATTTTGTATTTATACTAGGAATATCATGTAGATAGTAAAACGCTACCCAAAATTTTTCTAGTCATCCCCACCAATAATGTGATGACGTCATTTCAAAATTGTACACAATAAATTGGTTTTAAATTGTATAAAATAAATAATAACATAGTCCTACACATGTAGTTCATGACTCCGTGTTGAGTCTATAATTGTAATGTATCATTGCGTTGGAAATTGATTTTTTTGTTGACATATGATCAATTGATCATTCTTCAAATTTTCTGCTTGTTTGTCCGATATATATCAGAAGGCAATCACTACAACTTAAGATGTAGATTCCAGAATTCGACTTCTTGAGTGACTTGTCTTTACTATTGTGAACTAATTTATGTACAGAATTATTAGTACAGAAAGTTTTGCAAAATGAGTAATACTATTATACTGATTGGTTTCTTGGATTAATGGGTATATTAATGCTGATGTAATTTTTTAAATTTTCTTTTTAAACATGTTATCTATGGTTTTATCCGAATATCCATTACTATTGGCTATTATTTTAATTCTATTAAATTCAACATCAAAATTAATTTCATATAAGGAGACTGTGTAAAATTGATTGATATGCCGTCAGTTTGTCACTCCCAGGATGTAAAGACAAACAGGGAGAAAAGTTTAAGAAAGAATCAAAGAACACAAGTCATCATTATGTCAAAAAAAAAAAAATCAAATTCCACGTACGCGAACCACTTAATTCTAGAAGCCCATAATTTCAATGACGATCGATGATCACAATTTTACACATCGAAAATAAAGGCGCTAGAATGTTTGGAAATAAATAGGTACAATAAAGTCAATAAATTAATGAACGACGAAATCGAGATAAACAAATATCCCTTGTTGAATTTAAATTTATAAACACTATTATTGTTAAAATCAGGTATGTATATAAATTCAAATTAGCTATATTAAAACCAGTTTCTCTTCGGCCTGAAGACGGTACTGTCTACCGAAACAAGTGTAGCAGTGCCTGCTAATAAATTCTTTAAACATTTTAAAGTTTTTTACTTTAATAAACAAGTAACCGCCTCACGATACATATACAAGTAAAAGTATTAACAGTTACTTAGATAGCAACACAAAATAGTCTGAATGCATAAAATTTACAAATATAGATAGCACTCATTCAGGGACAAAATTTTTAGCAACAAAACACTTTTCTGCAGTTGAATATTGTACGATGACTTCCTCAGTTACAGCTTTGCACATTAGTAGTAACTTCTTCACACAATATTTCATATGGTTAGATTTATGTAAAAATATATATATCGCTAACCATTACATTACATGAACATCAAGGTATTTTAAAAAAGAATTTTTCTGTTTTGTTTGACAATAATTTTGACTTTTTTTTCAAATCACAAGCGTACGTTCAAACTGCTATTAGGACATGAAATGCACAGTTAAAATTGAGTGTATGTCAAAGTTGTCCAGTTTTCTTCCGCCGCAACTGTACTTTTTCAATTATGTGTTTTTTTTTTTAAGAACCGTTAACAATAATTTTATTTCGTAACAGTTATCCAGGAAAGACTTACTATAAATAAAAAAAAAACTTTAACAATTTTAGCTCACACATTTCAGATACACAAGGAGTTCTAGAAAAATAAAGCACATATAGTATAGAAATTCAACAAAACAAAATATGATATGATAATAACAATAATAAACAATAAGCCAGGTCATAATTTACTTATACAAATAGTATACTGAAAACTTTTTTTGTTATCTTAAAAATTTTGTGGTTAGTGACACCATGAAATTTATATTTATAGAATATGAAATCATATGTCATGTCAGTTTTTACATTTAGATAACCGACAGATATATCTTATTTTACGTAACATAAATGATTTATTTGTTGCATCAACAATAGACAGATATGACAGTTATAGATATATCAAATAAAAATCAATCAATGATATGTAAAAGATCTGCATTCTTTTCAACGTAATCAGTGATGGAACAAAAAGAGTGATCTAAGCAAAATTTTTAAATCGTATGTTTGAAACTTTGTACACTGAAATCTCCTACTGGAATTCCTTCATGTCGATAATATCTTGTCAATAAAATTAGTTCGAAAATCTGTTTTAACACTGACGGCATGCTATTCGTAAATTTCGTACAATAATAATTTTGCCGTTTGTACATTGCTGTTTTTTAGTTTAGTTAATTATGTCATGTTATGAGGACAAGAAAATGATAGAACGAGTTGCCAAAACTATGATAGACTACATCACATACACACAAAACCTACAAAGCAGAATAGAAGAAGTAAGAACAATAAAAGAAGCGATTAGTAAAAGCAGTAATGAACAAACGTGCAAATAGATGAAGAAGCAGAAAACAATATAATAGAACAGCAATACATAAATTGAAGGTAGAGGAACAAGGAAAGAGAAAAACTGAATGGATTTTAGACGAGAAATGAAGAACTTTCAAAGAGATAATAAGAAATATAAAACAAAAGAAATATATGCGCATTAAAAAATACACTACACATATAAAATATGACGCGATGGTGACATGAAGAAGTGAATCAAGAAATTAAGGAAAAATCTAGTGCGGCCAAACAAAAGTACAACCAATACAGGAAAAAGACCACTCTAAAAATAAAAGCCCTTGGTGAAATTCGGACAAGAAATGGAAGAAATACACAAATCAAAAATAAACGTCATGTTAGAAAAATGGGAAAATTACTGCGCTAAAAGGAAACGGAAAAGGTAGTAGAGGAATCGGAAAACTTCGAAAATAATTACAATATGGAACAAAGAGAAGAAATAACTGGAAGTGGATATTGCCAAAGTAAAAACAAGAAAACATAAGGGGATGACCAGATTAAGCCAGAAATGATTAAACGGCTGGGAATAGAGGGACTGTAGCTAATGGAAACTGTGAGAACTATAGAACAATATGCCTCTCCTCAATCACATTCACGTAATACAGGGTGAGTTCGAAGTTGTATAGTTCCTTGAGTAGCAGAAACTAAAATTTGCAGCAATGTTCTGTTTTTGAGCAACAACGTAGAACTTAGTTTTTTTTAATAGAACATCCTATATATTTTTACATATTCTGATTAGCCTATTTTAGTTATGAATTAATGCTGCGATGTTGCCAAGTTATTCTAATTTTCTTAAAATTGTCTGGAAATTCCAGACGGAAATGAGAGACCCAGCTATGTTTTCTTATTCTAGGGATCATGATACATTGAGAAAACATAAAAATATCCAGTCGTCCGATGGTTTCGATTACAATACTTCCTTAGCTTATTATAGCTGACGCTCGGGAAATAAAAATAATATGGAAAGACTGGATCGACAATAATTAATATATTAAAAAAAATCTATTTTATCCGACGAAGGATAGGAAGAAAGAAGAAAATTATATTACTGGAAACGGTCACTGCGAATGCAAAAGAACCAACAAAAATTAATTTCTATTCTGACAGTCAAATGTTATTTGAACTAATTTATGATCAAAAACGAGTGTTTCTGTAACCGTTGATTTACAAGCCCTCAAATTCAATCAGACAGCGGTTTCGTTAGAAAAAAATAATGACATCATAGTCTCTTTAAAACAACCTTCAGTCATTATTTTTCGCCAGAAATATCATGCGAATTTGAAATATTACTTTATAATATTAGGTCAACAGATTTTGAAATATGTTTCGCATCTTTCCAAACGTTATCCAGGTAAATATGAATAGGACAACCTTAAGTGATGAAAAAGGTAATTTTTTAACAAAGATATAATAATTTCAGTCTTATTGTAGAAAATTACGTCAAAAATTGGCGTTTTTCAAAGCACACAATAAAACGAATAAATTTCGTAACATTTTTTTTTCCGATGAATCGCTAATAGAACAGTTCTACTAACGTTTGAAACAGGTTTTTCCAAATTATTATTTTTTTAACTCTCATTTAAAATCGATTATGAGAAACACTATAGTAGTATAGTTTCCATAACACGTACGCTTATTTTTGAAAATCGGTATGAATAAATAAATGTTAATTAAAACTCTACTTATTACATGTTTTTTCCAGTGACCATTCGAGTATATCCTTTTAGCGCCCACATAGTACAGTGCTCCGGATCTTGAAGACATTGAAAAATTTTTAAGTTACATCCTGGATCACTTTACTGAATTTTAATTGCCTACATATCGAGTTAAGCCCGCACGAAATAAATTAGGCCTGTGTGGTACTCAGCTTTTATTTGTATCTATTTGATATGCATGACCACAATTATTTTCCAACCTTGATTTACTTCAAACGATCTAATTATTACGCGAAAATTCAAGTTCAGTGTCTGTCACGTCTAAATTACGCTATTCTGAAAGCCGTTGTACTAGAACTAGATAGTGTGCATGAATCATCGGTGTTCGTTTTATGTTTTCTGTGTTTTAAGTATCAAGTAATGGCAGGATATGGACGTGATTATCTCTTCCTGACCGAAGAACATCTTCCACAAAAGTTTCGTTATGTTATTTCACACTCAGAATATTTTCGTGCATATTTTCACACTGGATTTTTGACAAATTCTTGAATGAGACGTTTAAAATGTCATAAACTCATAGTATGAATTTCTGATTGTAATAAAATTAATCAAATTAAAATCAAATTATGTAATATTAATTAGTCTCAGATTGTGTAAGCTGATATAATTTATGTGGTGTCATTAAACGTAAACATTTATCATTCAGATGGATGAATTTTGATTGCTGTCCAAATTGGCCTATATATATATAGTTGCGGCCCCCCAAAAGTCCACGATTTTTCGTTGTCATGGAATTTTTTGAATTTTTAAATTAATGTAAGTCTGGCTAAAATGTCAAATTTGACAAATTTTGTTATTCGAGAGCCCATGATTTGAAGATACATTTACAATAGAGAAAATTATAGTGCACTTTTGGGGCGCCGCAACTGTACAATACTGTTGATTTTTAATCCACAATGCAAGGAGTTATTATATATATTATAAATCAATTTTTACTACTTTTTATCATTTCTGGAAATTATTACTATTTAGCAAGAACAAAATTTGTAATAGTAATGGGTTTATTATCACATTTTACAGTTTGTTTTAAAAGGGGGTAATAACGATTAGACATTATTGCATGATTATTTTCTTCTTTTGTAAAACTCTGAAAGTTTAGCAATTTCCTGCGACAATGATGATTTATTTATTCGCAAATTATAAATTAAGACCATCAAGAGGTGGGCATAAAGCAGAGTTAAATAATTAATTACAAAAAGTGCTTGTGCCATTGGAGGAGGGGATTTATGTAAAGTCTACTTTCTCTTCAGTGTTGATGGTGAGGTTTTGTTTAAGCAATCTGTTAGTGTGAATGAAGTACTGTAGATATGCGTGCGTGTGTGCTGTTCCTTTCACGTTGTAAAAAACCTTCAATAAAAACGTCATAAAGTGATCCATCGATGTAGTCAAACTGAATTTCTTGAAAGTCTGATTTTCTAAGTACCCAGTAATTGTAATGTTATTTATTATTTAATTTAAATGTTAGTGCGGGTTTTACCAAGCATCGGTAAATGTGGGATGTAAAACAGCTGATTGTATGCATTAGATAGTTCTGGAGAGCTGCATCAGTTGATATGATTTCTTTAACATCTTATTTCTCTCGTATATTCACTTTCTGTGTCATTGTCCTCGTTGCCATTTCGACAGTTCGACCTGGTAAGTCTTGGTTTACTTTTTATTTACACAGCGATAATTGTTTTGTTTTATGACTACAACTTCATATTGTAGCGGTATAAGTGGGTAGTGCGGACGTGAGTTAAGGGTTAGTACCGTGTAGCTGCACCTAACAATTTTTTTTAAAGGTAGAGCATTACTTTGCTAACAGGAAGCTAAAAATAATGAATCTGAATGAAATTCCTCTTGACAGGAATTATCCAAACCTTTGAATGCAGCCTGAAGCCAAGTTTGAAGGCCATTTTTCTTTTCTTAGCTTCTAGATAACGATGTCCTATATTTTTGCATAAAATTAATTACATCTACATACATTCTATACATATCGCCAAATTTTATGGACAATTATTTTTATATATAACGTTAAAGACAACTATAAATTTTTATGATAATAAAAATGATTTGAAATATGTGCCACATGTATGTAAATGTAAAATTAAATACTTGGAAGAGAACTTTAAAAAACAGGTATTTTAATTAGAACTCAGCTTTTGATGCATGAGTTGAATAGCAGCAAAAATAAGTCCAGTTATTACTTATGAAAATGCAATATTACGTTTCTCTTACGTTGTGTCGGGTACGTTATTTTTGATACAATTTTTTAAATTATTATGTAAGCACTCATTAATAATGTAACATACACATATGTTAGTTTGAATAAATTGAGTCATGGTCAAAAGTATTTTCGCACCTTCTTAGTTTTCAGCTTTGCTTTTATATAATAATTGTCGTTTTCTCTTCAGCTTTAATATAAAAAAAAAATACACAAGATCATTTGGAATATCACATTAACTATTAATAATAATTGTTTATTTATTAACATAATGTCGAAACTTCTAAGAATCAACCTTAATTTGAAAAGGGACTTCCGTTGGAGGATTACCTTATCAGATAAAACTGAGTGCTTTGTTTAATTTTATCAGTATTTGTCAAGATTTGATTTCATCACGGCTAAATTAATCTAACATGGATAGTTATACACAATTAGTCATATGCACACACTTATTATAAGAATTTGTATTTTATCTCCATACGTACGTTATTTTCATAAATAAGTGTGCTTAGATAGTTTTATGTATATCAGATATACAACCACTTGAAACGTCACATCCTTCGGTTTTATTGTCTGTCTACTGAAAAAATTTAGGCTTCTTGGAATTAGTTTACTGTTCTTAAAATATTAAAACAACTCTTGTCAAATAAACGAATAATACTCATAAAATTGTATAATTAAAAACTAAAGGTTTCCATCTGACAACGAAGCTGAATTCGCAGCAATTAATCATGTTAATGAGAATAAATAAAAAAGCAAGAATTCTTGAAAGAAGTTTGGAGAGAACATCAAGATGAATTCGTAACATTTTCGACCGCAATATAAGGTGATTGCTTAATTTCAAATATGAAGATGTTCACAAGATAAATGTGGGGCTTAATTTTTCAACTATCTACAAATTTTGATACTTATTTTATCCAAGGCGAAGTTTACTACGAATTACCTATTTAAAATTGGAATATTATACAATTTCAAAAAGTCACAAAACAACTTTTACGTGTATCTAGTGTAAAATAATTTAAACATATTAGGTACATGGAACCTGTGTTCCGTTTTTATAGAAAGCTAATAAATTTCACTGAGTTAATTTTTAGAGAATTGTATGTGATTAAAATCGTGGTTCTGAATAAATTCTTGGTAGAACTGGATTTGAAATTCACATCAAGTCCATTACAATCATATGTATCCAGATTTTTTTGTTTATTAATTAATTTGCTGCCCACAAGAATAAACTTTTAGATGGGATGGTTGAATCAAGATTTATTTAAAAAAAATGCGCACAAAAGGTTTGTTATATATAACTTTAAACGGTAATATATACAAAGGAAAATAATAGTTAAAATAGTTATTTATAGTAAACTTTTAGGCATATATACAGGGTGAGTCACTAAAGACTAATTTCCAGATGACCAAAGAATATTGATAATAATAATTATTACAATTGTTAAGTATTGTTATTTCAGTTTTTGCAAATAGAACAGTTTATATTTATTTCATTTGCATTTTATTACTGCATTTTATTCTCTTTATTTTTCGTTAAGTATTTTCTATATTTAAAGTTTATAGTTACTGCGAATTTTTACTTTTTTAATAAGAGATATATCGACATATTCTAAGAACGTGAACAAAAAATAGAGTAAGATACAGGAATAAAATATAGGTGTTCTGTTTGACCAAACTGAAATATCAACATGTGAAAATTGTAAAGATTTAGAATTATAAACACACTGTATGCTAAAACTTAATTTCATTGATACGACAACAAAACGTATTGATTTATTTATTCTTTCTGTTCATTGCTAAAAAATTAAAAAAAAATGTAATAACATGGCAACGTCGCATCGGAATTTCATAAATTAACTGTAGTTATAAAACCTAATAATAGGCTAAATAGAATATTTAACAAAACTAAGTTGTGTGTTACGCCTTATGAACAGAACACGCTGTATACTAGTTAAAAATAATTTTAGAGTATAGTCCTCAAAGAACTGTACAAATTTGATCTTCGACTTTTTTTCTAACTTTCATAATAATTAATAAGATATCGAGGACCGCGCGCTTAGTGACTCACTCTGTATAATATTTAAAATCTTTTAAAACTGTATAGGTTCAAGTTAATTTTCCTTTTATGTTTGAAAGCCTTTAATGAAACACAAAACTAGGTCTAGAATAATAATTTTATTTAAGAGTTTGTTATCCAACAGACAATAGTACGATACATGGAATAAAAATAATTTTATCTATATTTTGAAACAATAGCACTTATGTAAGTAAATAAAGGTCCTTAAAAATAGTGGCAAAATAGATACAGTTTACAAAAATATAAAATAAATACTGATCTTAAGATAAGATTTAACGTGAAATCAATTATCTATTCAGTTGGTTAATTTAAGCAGTATACAGGATGTTATTGTACGTACAACAAAATTGACAGTTTTTCGCGAAGTCTAAAAAGTCTGAAAAACTCATTTTGTGTTATCAATATTATAAGGGGAAAATTAACCCTTATCCAAACTTTTTAGACGCTGCTGAAAGATAAATAGGTAAAATTAATTTATTTTAGTAAGTCCCAGTAACAATAAAAGTTTTGTCAAGACTAAATGTTGCTATAGAAACAAAAGATGATCTTTTTATCAGAGGCGTACAACGAATTGGGACATAAATTTTAATAATTTTTATCTCTAAAAGGTGAACACTTTTACCTGAAGTTTTTTTTACTCTTAGCACCCATACTTCGAGACAATTGCCGATTTTATTTTGTAGGTACCTTTCAATAACACGCTGTATATAGCACATGAATAATTCTGATGCCGAATGTTAATGATTTAAAAAAAATTGGTCCAAGGTTACTTTGACAGAACTTTCCTCGCCCTTGAAGTACAATCCAACAAATTCCGCTTCTTTGAAAAATTACAGAAAATGTAAAAACCAGTGGTGTAAATGACACCTCGCAGATATACAGACAATATGAAACAACCAACGGAAAAGAGTGCATTATTATCAGTGTACATGCTTAACTTCGATTGTTTATGTTTATACATCGAAAGAATATCACGTAGAAATTTGTTTAATTTGAATGAGTTGTCTCCTCAAAACAAAAATCTGAAACTATTATTTAAGCCACAATGGGACAATAATTACTATTATTGTTATTTGATCATAATTAAATAAAAACGTGGATATTCTGACATTTTCTATAAGATGAGGTCCTTAATTTGATCAATAAAAATTTAGTCGAAGGCTATAAGCATAATCCGACAAATACAGCGTGTTAGAAAAATGATAAAATTTGAGTTTACGATTTTCGTTTTGTGATAACCACTGTAAAGTAAAAACCAGAGGCATAAATAACACCCCTTGTCCTTCGGCACTAGATAATAGCAATCTGAAGCTCAAATATTTATTTAATATTAATAATAATAATACATACTTTATTGTCCAACAGGATTAATTTCCAAATTACATTTATGTTTATACATCGAAAGAATGTCACGTAGAAATTAGTTTGATATGAATGAGTTTGTCTTCTCAAAACAAGACTAAAATTATTAATTAAACCACAATCGAACAAAATATTTTGAATATTATAATTCTTATTTTATCATTATGGTATAAAAATGTGCGTATTCCTCAAATTTTCGAAAAAATGAGGTGACTCGTTTTTAATTTGGCCAAAAAAATTTGTAATGACGTCATCAACATGGATAATATTAGTCACAGTACAAAAGAAACGCAGTCGCAATGTATTACCAATGCAACAAAAAAAAAAAAAGTAAACCCCGATTTAGCCACTGCACCACGAGGATTTCTGCCCGGTGTTGGTAATATAACGTTATTATACCTTGCAACTGTTTTTGCGAAAATTTGAATATTTAGCGAATAAACTGAAAGCGGATTTGTATACTACAAGTAAGGAGTATATTTTTGAATAACATTCAAATTATATTAAAATACAATTCATTAAAATGACGTCATCAAATTGTTGGTGAGGATAATTATCTAAATTTTAGTTAGCATATTTCTTATTTACTGTTGCGGCCACCCAAAAATGCACGATTTTTCGTTGTCATGAAATTTTTTGAATTTTTAAGTTAATGTAAGCCTATCTATTACCAGTGGCGTAGCATTTTTGAGTAAACAAAATGTACAAAGTTGACAAACTTTGTTATTCGAACACCCATGATTTGAACATACATTTACAATAGAGAAAATTATCGTGTACTTTTGGAAGGCCGCAACTATACATATAAAATTTGACAACAATCGGTCGAAGAAATTACATGTCTAATAAAAATGGATATAAACACTAGAAATTTTGGTTTACAACCTTTTTAAATCGGAAATACATCTTGCATTTCATATACAATGATTTATTACGAAAGTATAACAAAATTTGAATAAAACATGAAGTAACAAAATGATCTAACGTCAT